CCCGGGGGGGTACTCCCTTATAAGGGCTTAATGGGGACGTGCGGCCAGCCAGGGTATGTTTTTCGAGATTTTTGTCTTAAACAGGGTATCGAATTTATCATTTTTTGTCTTAATCAGGGTATCGATTTATCAATTTTTGTCTTAAACAGGATATCTTTTCTTGGAAGATAAACAGCAAAATTTTCACAAGCTCTAATTTTAATTAATATTGAATTCCGTTGATTTTGGCATTGATACCAGGCACATTAAATGTATTAAACAGGGTATCAAAAATCGAAATTCTGTCTTAAACAGGGTAGGAAAATCACCAATATTTGTCTTAAACAGGGTCAGGGTATGAGGGGCCGCGCCGCACCTCTCCACCCAGGAATATATCGAGTACCCCCCCGGACTCTCCTATGCCCGCCGTCGTGCTACTTCTACTAACTTAAACTTTTTTTGTTTCCTTTTTCAATTTTTCTCGTGTTATTTATGAGTAGCTTTAGTAATTAATATTTATTATCATATGACCCGTCCTGCCCTGCTCTTGCAATCCCATAGAAAACCATAGTAAAAGCTGACGTGTGCATTGGCCGGACGGGTTGACGTGAGCCGCTCCAGTAAAACCCGTCCGGCCCTGTTGGCCTCGCGTCACTTTGATGCAGAAACTTAAAGTAAAACTAAAAACAAACTGCCTAAAGCGCGGGAAAACGCACATGACCCAGAAAGCCTTTTTTCGGTGTTACATTTGATTGGTTTGGCGAGTGGTGCGAGTTTCCTCAGCCAATCACAGAGCAAAGTTATAAACAACAACAACAACAACAACAACAACAATAACGAAAGCCCGGATTACTTTCGCCACTCAACTGAAAACCGCTCCGGCAGGGAAGGACAAGATTTAAACTTACAAATCGGAAAATCTTCCTTCGTCCATTTTTCTCCTTTCATTTTTTCATCTTCCTTTGACTTTCGTCTCTTTCTTCGTTTGTCATTTTCTGTTTCATTTGTCTTCACATTTTCCGCCTCGTCTTTGTCGCCAAGTGCTACAGCAAAATAGAAAGGTGCCAAGCTATCAAACCGTCTAATGTTGGTACCTATGTTGCATGGACACCAACATGGTGTCCCCATACTGAGCTCTATGAATGTATGCCAGACTTTCTGGCAAATAACTCATCAGCGGAAACCCTGCAGACCTGAAACTTGGGAACATAGGGAGTACAAACGGTTTATTTATCAATATTTTACGATACTTCACTCTCTTGGGGTCAGGCATTCAACGCTGTTTTTATTTTTTTGTTTTTTTCTGTTTTAGAAAAACAGTGAAACAATTTTAACCTACTGTAAAACTCTGCAGAAGCACCAGTATTCCGAATATTCTCACCTTCGTAATCCAAGTCGTTCACAAGTTCCTGAACTCTATGTTCGGTAGGGTTTAAGCCAAGCATGCGCATAGCATACTTTAGTTCCTTCGTGGATAACTGACCGTTTTCATTCAGATCAAAGCATTTGAACGCCTCGACGTATTCTAATAGGAAAAACTGAATGTTAATATTAAGAAATTATATTGATTTTATCGTGCTGTCCTATTGCAAATTCAGCGGAGTTTCAGGCGAGACGTGTAGGCTAAACTCGAAGGCTTCAGCATCTGGCCTTCAGTATGATAAACAACAAAGTCCGGCACTTTCCTACATCGTTTAAAAGCTCGCTTTTCTCCAGAAGAAATAGGGCGAAAATCGGCTAAGCAAAGAGGAACAAGTTTCTTGTGAACATCTCGTGCGGTCTCGTACTAGTTAGTGAACAGTATCAAACTTCCTAGTGCCTAGGCCTCTATCCATTGTAACGCCAAAGTACCCTCGTTAGCTTTTTTACTAATAATTTAATGATCAAGTAAAGCAACAAGAGGAAGATAAATGAGTGACGTCACTGGAGTAACTTTAGTATCCAGACCTCTCCGAGCCTTGCAATTCAAGGAAAATATCAAATAGGACATGCTGTTTTACCTGATAAGTAGAAACTTTCTGAAAAGGCACAACCAGACTAACCTTCAATTTCCTGCTGCGTAAGTTTTTCCTACGGGCAAGAAATCAAGATAGTGCGACATAACATCAATTCAAGTCTTCTCGTAAAAGTAATAGAGATGGTTCAGAACAGATGAAGTGACTTCCTTTCGTGTTTTTTTTCTCAAATCGGACGCTACTCTTCCCTCACAAAACTCTGTCTCCTAAAAGAACTTATTCTTCCAATAAGACGGCTGTTTGGTCTGAGGCTATTTAAAACTTCGGACACAATCCCATCGGCTTATCTTTTCCCGATCAAGCAACAACAAGAGATTAGTTTATAATATCTTGGTAACAGCCATTCATTTTTTTGTCTTTCGAGCCCATGAGTCCTCTCTCACCTTGCCCCCAGAGGAAGAAAGAGAGAGAACACTGGAACCCAGGTTGTCTTGTGAGAACAATCGAAGATATGTCGGTTAAAGGAGCTAAATCAGAATATTTTTTAGAAAGTTTTTATCACCAAAATAATTTGGGTGAGAACTTCTTTTGAAATGAAGAGACCTTCAGGTAGGGTAGAAAACATATAGGAGACGAAAGTTCTCTCAGGCGGCCAAAAATGTTTTATGCATTGTGTTCCAATAAACAGCTGCAAGGCATCAGAATAGTCAAAGATATCTTAGAAGCATAAATGACCAATTTAAGGTCCACTGTGATGCGTTTTTAACACGGTTAGTCTCTTGAAGTGACGGTCGCCATGTAATTAACTTTTTTTGGGTTCACAAATAAAATTACCGCTCGAAGGCTTTATAGAATTTTTTTTCAGCAATATGAATTTCAAAGTAGTTTACCACTACTTAAGTTGACAACCGACGTGACACAAATGTTCTTGGCATATGTGAATAAAAAACTTTACTTTCTGCTTTATTGCTTGTTTTTATGAAAGTGACCTTAAAAAAAATTATTTTAGTTTCGTATTCTCCTAATTATTTACTCTTTGCCCTTTAAATCGTCAATAAATGATATTTTGTTTGGTTATTGTCATTTAAACTGACGAAGGGTGTTGTTTTCTCTAGAAGAAAATACCATACGGTGAAAGACAGACCTCAGAATATCGTTAACTTGAAGATCGCTTATGCCAGAACTGCAGTGGAATTAACTTGGTATATAACTCACAGAGCTGATGGTAATTGCCCATTTTTATAGCATTCTATCCAAAAAGTTTACCATATTTGAGCATTTTTTCCGTTTATTGCTGGCTAAACGAGTAAATTTAAATGCAAACTTGCTTTATCGCGCCTTACAGGCATATGACTCAGAACATCTGCAAGTGTCATTGATAACAGCTATTGTGTCTGTTCAATTCCAGCGAGACCTTTTTAAGGCTTTTTCCTTTTCTTTACCAAAAGCGCCGTGTAAAACACGTAGGGATTATTACTTTTTCGGGCGTTGTGGCGCATTTTGCTGGCTAAATCAGAGATTTTGGCGGACAAAAGCGTACTTTAACCCGCTTGTATGCTCGCGCAAGTGTTTAAATTGTTTTATCGTCATGTATTTCAGATTTTATTTTCTCAGTGCCTTCCAAAGTGATAATAAAAGTAAAGCATAAATATGTCTCGGGCCTTTAGCCGTCGCCTAGCGGCCGGGGCTAAAATGACCGTCAGTCGGGCCCAAGACATATTCATGCGGCCCAAGAACATAACTTTTGTGTTGATATCTTTAAGATTACAAAAGCCTTTTTTAACTTCGATTTTTCGAGTTATTTCTTATTATGCTGAATGCTTGATTCTCCTTATTTTTACGCCCAAGACGCAATGAGTATTCTTAAAAACTAAATGTTAATAACAAATTTTCAACTATTTTTTTTAGAGGTTAAAACAATCTAAATTAGTTAACGTAACTGCAGTTAAAGCTATCTTTAATTTAACAGTAAGCAAACTATTAAGTTAGCAATAGCCACATGTATATTTTGAATGGTTTAGCAGGAGTAACGACTGCTAGAATCGAAGCAGAAATAAATTTTCGCTTACCATCAGTCTCTCTCCACATCAACTTGATTATAAACTGTTCGCCATCCTTCGGAGATTATGATATTAAAAATTGGTTAAACTTGTTTTAGCTGTATTCATTATCATCTGCTTAAACACTGCGAGAAAACCTTCTAATTGCTTCGGTATGAGTCATGTTTTCATGACGCAGCGATAAACAAGCAATTTTCGCTTACCTTAGGTAGTTCTACGCAGAAACTTGGTTATAAAACTGTTTTAGTAAGTTTTTCAGAGTTGTCGTAAATGAGCAATGAAGGTGACTCCGGACTATAGGAAAAACTCCGCCATTGCTTCTGAAATAGGAGTCTCTCTTTGGCGTTTTGCATTTGTTTCAGCCCGTTCATTAATATCCGTCATTTATCCCATTTTAAAACACTTGTCGCGTATGGTATATCGAATTCAATTCACTTTGAAAAACAAATGAATTCCATGTAAGATTAGAAGATAAAAGCCATCTGGTGTAAGAGTTAACTAAGCTAACACACAAAATTGATTGACATATAGCGAGATGTGTCTGACTTGTGCAAATATACCAGATAAACAAGCTACAACCGGAAGATTGCGTCTTCTCGCGTCGAACTCCGCCATTGCGTTTACACGGACGTTTTTCCTTGTAAAGGGAATAAGCTTTTTGTTCAGCAACGCATTAGCGCAAAAATTTCTTGTTTAGGTATGGCGCTGATATATTTCAGTTATCCATTTTCAAGATGTTAGAAAGAGAAACCCAAACATTTTACCGCCCACATCGTATTTGAAGTTAGTCTTGACATAAATTTTAATAGGATTCGAAACTCTCGAATATAAAACGACCATGTTAATCTATACTAAAACGTTCTAATTATATTTGTTCCATAGTTCTTACCACAGTCTACCGATCAACGCTTTAAAATAGTATTTGACTATAATAAAGTGAAGAAAAATTGTTTCACAAGTTTGCGATGCTACTGTCCTTAATATGATTTTGATTGCCTTTTTTTTTTTAACTAATATCTTTTCTTTACATATTTCGAGGCTAAAACACATCTTTTATTTGAAATAAAGTATTCATGTAGCACTTACATTGAACTTGAACTTGAGTAGCCAATGCATTTATGGTACCATTGATACTTAACTAAAAACTGCATTTTTTTAATTTAAGTGGTTATGATATTTTTCAGAAATTATGTTTAGTGGATTTTATAAACGTGTCATATTTATTTCAGTGCTGTAAGTAACAAAACAAACAAAAAGAAAGTTTTCGATCTGAAACCTAGCCTAGTTTAGAAGTGTCGAAGATTGATCCGAGGAGAGTCTAGATCTAGTTGTTGCCTTCATTTCACCCTTAGATCCCAAAGAGTGACTAACATCTAAATTCTCCTAACAATATCACTCCTAAATAACACATTATGGTCATGAACTGAAGAAGCCTTTGAATTTTAAACAAATTCCTCCTTGGCAGCACTCGGGCAGTCAGGGGGCCCATAACTAAAATCAACCAATCAAAATGCTCTATTGCCGGTCAATATTCTCTCAGTATTGGACCGGGCACGGTCCCGAATGGTCCCGAATGATACCGCACTTGTGTCCCTTTGAACTTCAGTCGTATAATAAATCTCTTATTAACCAAGCTTGCTCGGGACCGTACTGGAAAAATATCGGCCCTCGGGCCGATATTCTCCCAGTACGGCCCTCGCGCTTGGTCAATAAGATGTATATATGCATACTAATAACAGGATGTAAGGGTTGAGAGAAAACACACCTACATACATTCACAAAACCTTTATATGTTAGAAAAGGTTTGAGGTCTTCTCCAAGTTTTTTTTTGTTTCTTTGTTCGTTTGTTTGTTGGTTTTTGTTTTGATTTTATTTTACCCCTTGGTTTCAAAATCAAGGCTCTATTGCGGCAATAGAGCCTTTGTGTTGCAGGAAATTGTAATCATCTATTTACTCTCATTTGGGGGTAGTCTACGAACAACTGTTCTATACAATCGCCTCTCTTGTTCATATATTGCGGACCTACTTAGATGGTACCCTGCACAGCGGTTTTGCGTAGGCAACCCACAAGCCACTGCGAGTTTCATAGGTCTGTCTCGTCAAAAATCAACAGTGGAAAACCTACTTAAATGTAAGTAAATTTCTGCATTTTATCGCTTTACTTTCCCAAAAAAAATGTCCAACAATATCTGAAGTTAATTATTCTATTCAATTGAGATTAATTTTTCCGCGGGAAAAGTGTCCTTTTTATCTGTGCGAATGTGCTGATGTTGTTGCTATGATGATGTAAACAGCACAAACGATCGCCATAAATTAATTGCTTTGCGAATGACCTTGAATAACTACAATTTTTTTAATACAAGCAGTTCCTGAAGTCGTATTTCTCCTAAATGTTTAATCTTCTCTAGGAATCTTTCTTTATTTGTTTTGCCAGAGGTAAGGTCTATAATTAAGCTAGGGAAAAAAAAAATTCTATGAAAAGAAAATTCTGAAAAAAAATCCTAATGCGCCCTTCACGAATTTGACTGGATGTGTTTGACGAAATTACTATTACTTCTCGTGCGAGCTTTAGCCATAAAAAAGAGCCCTAATTTATAATATTTTTGAAATTATGCCCAGTAACAAGGTACACTGCATGTACAGTGCACGGGGATGGCCCACGTATAAACAATTATTGGATGACGTTTTTGTGATATCCGGAATAATCAAGGTCGAGGTAAGTGTTATCAGCCTTCAGCTTTAGCTGATAACACTACCCGAGACCTTGATTATTCCGAATATCACAAAAACCTCATTCAATAATTGTTTTATTACACATTTTTTTAAAGAAAATAATGCCAAATGCATCATCACAGCAAACACAGCTTATTTTCAAACACTTAAAAATGTACAACTGTCTGGTGAACAAATTTGCACTTTGGCTAATTCCCTTCTGTCGTGTGGCTCCTGGATATTTTTCTCTTTAAGGTATTCGTAGAACAGTTCCTTTGCCACTTTTTTTTTGTCTTTTAGTATTTTCCGAATCTTTATCTTCAAGTAATTTTTCAATTTCTCACTGGGTCGATCAAGGAAACCGAGAAGCCATTCTTACTTCACTGTCCGTGAACTTGACATTGCTCCACCGGAAATCATGCATTGCACACGCAACCTACAGATTATTCACTAATCTGTAGGTTCAGATTAGTGAATAATCTGTAGGTTGTGCTGTTTCCCAGAATTAACTGTGGGTGTTTAGCCAATGAGAAGACAGATGATGACTACAATCTATAATAATCACATGTTGCTGTAACATTTTGATCTGTCACAGTGTACTCATTTCTAAAAGTCAAGATATTCTAGTCTTCTTGGATAAGGACGAATAAACTGTAGGCCCCATCTTCTGCAGGGTTAGGGGTAGGAGACGTTAATTTCCCACACACAAGATTACTGTGTGGTGGATGTCCTCCCCTGGGTGGGATGGGTGGGTGTTGGCCATGAAAAGCCCCCATGGGGAGTGGTCAATTAACCAATGTATATATGTATTCACATTTCCTTTCTAATCTTTCAACCTTGAAAAAGTGATTAGCACTTGTATCTAAATTTTCCCTACAATAACACCGCTGAATCAAACATTAAGGTCTTGGAAATAACAGAAATGATAACTAACTGTAAGAGTGTTATTGTTAAGCAAACTGTCCTTGTCAGTGCCTTTTGATTTGAATAGAGGACAGTATGGAGAATATGTGTACCAGTGTTAAGGTGTGAAGGGCCAAATGGACAAAAGAATGATAGCAGGTGTCATTTCAAGATATCAACTCTTAGCTGATAAGTTTGCCAATTCTCAATACCTTTTTGCAAGGTTATGTCTTGGAATTGTAAGGATAAATTAGTTCAGTTGTCAGTCACGTCTGGGAGTACATGTAAATCTCTTTGGGGTAGATGAAAAAATTAAGCCAAGATTGTGATGTTCCCCATAAGCTGTTTAGCAATTGTGTTTGTTGTTTCCTTGTTTCTGCATCTCGCTTTTAAAGAATGACTGCATTTAGTCATTCATTGAAACAGATTTTTCTCCTCAATTAGTTAAAAAGAATGTTTGTGAATCTACAAGCCTGATTGAGCAAAAGAAGAGTGCATCTGCACATTTTTTGTTCCTTAACAGACATTTTTACGACATATCACAGCCATGGGAAGACCTCCAGGTAATAAATGAAGTAGACCCATCCATGAAATGTTTACATGTACAGCTGTACATGTATGAAATGTAGTAAGAGGGTAGAAAATTAAGCTGGTGAATTAAAACAAAATCACCTTGCAGCTTTGGTACAGAAAGAAATGTTATGTTTTCAATAGAAGTTGCATGCAGATGAGCTCTAGATGGTGGAACAGATTTAGAGAAGGCTTTGGTTCATTCTTATACATTTATTTCTAATTTTTCAAAGTTTTGGGTGTCCTAGACATGAGCTAATCAAATTTATTGATTCAAATTAGATATTTAAAGGGATTTACAATGCATTGAAATATGAAGTGGCTTTAAACAATAACATGTTACTTTATCAGAAATTGTTCTACCCAAAAATTCAAAGAGAGTGAAATAATGTGCTGAACCAGGTGTAAAACTGATCTATAGCAACTATAACCTTCATGAACTAATACAATTAATATTCTGGTCTCTTAAGGCACTGCTGCAATGAGAATGCCTCCAGGAACTGGAATGGTAAGTGTTTTCTTCTACTAATAAATACCAAACAGGTGTGAAAGGTGATTTTTGATGCAAAATCAGCACACAAAATTAAATCACCTGTTTAGTCACCTCTTTGGTGAGGCAAGCATTGTTCCTCACAACAAAAGAGTCTGTCACATAATTATTAAGTATAATTAGAGCACAAGCATGGGATAAAAACAGGCAAGCCTGATGACGTAGAGGCTCTAATAATATTACTCGGTTCAACAGTGGGATAATTATGTGTTGTGGTGCTGGCATTTTGAAATGTGATGTAACATCCTCTCAGCCAGCTAAAGAGAAAGGTAGAAATTTAACTAACTTTTGAGCAATATTATAACAGTTACTGTAATTGGATGGAGTTTCATAAATTTTAATGCTATATTCAACAGGTCCCAGGCACTGCCAGGCCAGGATCAAGAGCTGGTGAAATGGGTGGAGGTAAAAAATAAAATCAGATTGTATATGCTAATTGATGCATTTTTAATATTTTACTTGAATGTTACATGATTGTACACAAATAACCAAAACACGATGACCCTATGCAAGCTTGCAATACATTGTGGCAAGAAAGGTCATGCCACACCTTTAGGGAAACTTAACATTAGAAGTTGTTCTGACAACACTGAATTTCACGAGTACTTTTGGTTAAAAAATATTTAGAATCCTAGAAACATAGTAGTCGCATGATGAGTCATTGATAATTTGTTTCAGTGAAATACTTTTAATTAATGAAATTTATTTTGAACTTGATGGATTTCATGGTCAGAATGATTGAATTTCAAATTTATTCCTTCGTAGAAATTAGAAGATATTTATTCTCAAATGCCTGAACAAGAAGCTGTCAGAAGCTCCCAATGACTTTGTATTTGATAAGGAATTCAGTTCAGTATCATTCACTGGAAGTGCTTTTACATTAAACAATCATGATAATGATGAAAATTGTTCAGTCTGAGCCATCCAATTTAATGATATTGTGATCAAAGTGGTGCTTTTTTTTTTCTCTGTTTTAGCTTTGAATGCACAGATAAGAGTTGCAGAGCGACCCATGACAAAACAAGGCTTAACTGGAATGAGGACTTCAGCCGGGAGAGGTTAGATTTAATTTTAACTTCATGCTCATGATGAGTGGGTGGTAAATTAAAGTGCAACCATCTAATAAAAAATAAATCAGTACTAAAATTAACGATCAAATATTCTTATGCTTCCAAGGATGAATGTAAGTTCAAATAGTACAAAAATTAATTAAGGCTTCACTTGCATTTCTGTAAATGAATGTAATTTCTTGTTGTTGTTTAATTTGCTTGCATGTAAGTATTTACATTGAGTGATATGTTTCTTTTATTTATTGCATAAATTATTTGGGTTAGTTGTTATTTTGAAGAGGTAGGTTCTCTATCCTGGGAAATCTTAAAATGCTTGGTTTTTTTTTTTTTTTTTTTCATCAAGGTCCACAAAGGGCAATTTATGACAAGTCCTTCTACATGGGGCAACTAAGGTAAATAGTTTTGATTGATATTTTATTCTTCCCAGCAGTCTGTACAATGAGATAAGAGTGATAAAGGAAAAAACCCCAAATTATAATTTGCATTTGAAGAGTTACCTTAAGTTTGTCTCCCCAGTTCTTGAAAATATTAGAACATAAATTATTGTACTTATTTTCAAGTTTATAAATAAATCATATACATTTTTTTTAGCAGCCGTCGGGAAGTAGCATCAAATTTTTGTTTGAATGTGTAGTGTCCAAAACCCAGTTGTTTGAAGGCAGATTATCACTAACCCAAGGTTTAAATGTTAATCCAGGTTTCTCTATTTCTTGGCTCAAAAGCCTATTTGGGAAAATTTCTCTATTCTATTTAGAACATCTAATCATCAAACTGTAGACAAAAAGATTTAAACTGAATTTTCTTTTAATTAGCTTTCAGATATGAAATCAAATTTCACACTAACCATGGGTTACCTTAATCCAGCTTTGAACAATCTGAGGCTCGTTTCTTGAAAGTAGCGATAACTTAACGGACCCATAAAGCTGTTCTGTTTTCATTCAAGATGGAGATTTCAAAAGTTTTGAAAATGATACAATAAAACTATCAGCTAAAGAAACAAAAAGGACTGGTTTGAGTGCCGGAAGCTACTTTCCTATCCTTTAAATTTTGATTTTAAAACATGGTCTCGGGCCCGTTAAGTTACCAGGACTTTTGAGAAAAGGGCCCCTGGCCTTGTTGATCAATGTGAGTTTCTGAGCAATTGCACAACCTATCCCTCCCTTCCCTTCATCCAACATTAACCCTAACTATTTTTAAACAGTCGACCGTTGTTAGGTCGGGGAAGGGGTGGGTGGGCTGTTGCTCTGAGATACTGACAGTAATCCTAGTATCCTTATCATTAAAGAGATGTAAGCAAACAAAATTTTTTTCTCCTGGACATTGACGTAGAAGAAACAAATGTACTGCTAGTATTGATTTTATTTCATTTTTTGTTTGTTTGTTGGTTGCAGAGCAAAAATTACAGAGCTTGCAGCAGAGATAGCAAAAATGCAAAGAGAGGTGGACCAGTTTAATCAAGAGAATGCAACATTTCTGACATATGAAAAACGGTACGAGTTTTTTTTTTCCATAAATTTTCTCCAGTATGCACACTGTTTAGTGTTTTCTCATAACCTTTAAACCCTTTACACTTAAACATCAGTTTGCATATTCTCCATACTCAGATCTCCATATATTTCTTAAGGTGCTAGTAAGGAGAATTAGTTTATCAATGAAAAGCCTCTTTAGTTGGTGATCATTTCCTTTATTCTTGTGACCTTAGTGTGACTCTGGAGTAATATAAGGAGAAGTTAAATTTTGGTCATTGTTGAGAGTTGTAGGGTTAAGCAAATAGCTTAATTCTGCATATCCTTTGTAAAATAGAGATAAGGTAGTAAATTTTTGTTGTTTTTATTCCCTAAATTTGAACGCTTGTTTTGCCAGTAACAGTATGTGTACATCAATTTTTTAGATAGTCATTGTTGTTAGTGTTAGAAAAATTACATGTACAGTAAATGTTTGGGGGATCTGCATTCATTTTCAAAGTATTTGAAGAGGAATTTACAGTCTGTATATGGTTTTCTTAATATTAACATTTCAGAGCTGAAGGTTTAGCCACAGAAATCAAAGAACTCCAAGGACAATTAGCTGATTATAACACGGTAATAACCCTGTTCAGATAGACAATTCTGATTATCTAGTTACACCAGTAATGATTGAATATCCTTGTATCTTTTCTATTCTTTTTCTACAGCTGTTGGACAAAATTAACACAGACACAGAAATGGATGACATTGTTCAAGACTTCAATGCAGTGAGTTTCTCCTGTTTCTTTAATCCCATCTATACCTACACAAGCATGTATGTTCTTTGTGACTAAGGCTGATAATGAAAACTGATTGAATGTGATCTTTTTTTGTACTAAAGCTGAAAATTCAGAATGAGCGGGAACAGAAATCTATTGATGAGTTATTCACCCAGAGAAGAGAGTAAGTAAATCCTTATGATGATAATTATTGTAGTTACCATAGTTACTTGTTGCAGGAAAAAAAATGATTGTCACCAAAAACTGAGAAGAGTGTATGCATGTAGAATGCTGTTAGTGCCACGCGCTGCAACCATTGTCGTGGCAATAAGTAGTAGAATAAAATGTTGGCAACTAAATTTGCTATATAAGTCCTAGTAGTTTGGGGACTGTGTTTGGTAGTCACATACTTTTAGGAGAATTCCCTTTTGACTTATTTTAGAGCATATTGTGGTTAGGGCCTAAAATTAAGGGAAGATAAATATTTGCATAGATTAATAACAATGGCTTGTACAAATATTTTGTAAAGTGTCCTTTTCCATTTTTTTTTTTTTTATGTTGGAAAACTTTCATGTATTTTCAGTTACTTCATGAGTTACGTGTAAGGTTATTGCTAGGGGACTCTGAAGAAATTGAGCTTGGAATGTGCTGCCTATAGAAGGCTGCTTGCGATGTGGATCGTTTTTACTTTCTTTATTTTTTCAGTAAAGAGCAGCAGATAAAACAGCTAGAGATTGAACTTGACCAGGAACGGAGAATGGCTGAGAGCTTGGTGGAAGATATGGTAATAAACATTTCAGACTAAGATTCCACATCAAATTCTGCTGGAAAACTTCACTACTTCATTAAACTGTTAGCTACTTAATGAAACAATCAATTTTAAAATTAAAGATATATTAACATTCAATAAACATGTACTTTAAAGAAACAAGGGTACTGTAGTAGAACTTTTGATTAAGAGCCAGAGTGCCAGCCCCTCTTTTTTTAAGGCTAAGCTTATTTAATCATGGTATAGAAAGGTATACATCAGCTTCCATTTTTCTCACCTTTTTGCATGGTAATGTTTTGATTATGTTAAAAGAAGTGATATTGTGGGTTTTTAAGGTTAGGCTTGAAAAAGAGGAGCAAAGTTGTTTTCCTTGTACTCTTTATGTCTTTTACATTTACTGTACATGTGTTTTACCTTGTATAATCTCAGATTTTGTTCATCTCTGGTGCATAAGCATCAGAAAGCTACTATGATTCCAGCTAGAGCACATTAATGAAAATACAAGCTTTGTCATTGTAATCTAATTATTGAAAGGCTTCATTATATAAGTTAATTTTCTAAATATTGATGACTCATAAAACTGTTGCTTCTGTTGGTCTTGTATGACAATGTTTTGAAATGTTAATTCTTATACTTTTCATGATAATTATTTCCTTGCAGCCTCCTGATCAGAGAGCAAAGTATGCTCAGTTGAAAAATGTCAACAATTCTCTGCAGGCAGTGAGTATGAATTTTTATTCATAATTATGGAATTTTATTCTTCTCTCCTAGACAACAGTTCTATTTGTATTAACACCACATGTAGCAGTACCCAATTAGCGATACACTTGATCTTGACATATCCTGGGTAAAAAAATGTACAGATGACCACCTTGCTAAATATAACTACTAATAAAGTTAAACTTTCTTTGTGCCTTTGAATTATTTGTCATGATTATTACAACTTTCATTAAACTATTGGTACATTGTTTGTCACAAATGCAATGAAACACATTGGTTTTTTTTTTTGTTTTTTTTGTTATGTGGCTAAATAATACAGTCATGTATCATCCCTGTAATTTGAATATGGAAGGAGAGTCCTTAACCCTTGCGAAAAGATCTAGGAAATTCCTAGGAAATCCTAAGATTTTCCTAGGANAGGTCTGTTTGAAAAATAATACCTGATTGAAATACCAGTAAATTAGTAATCTTTTGTAACAAAAATCACGTAAAGCGCATGCTCCGATTGGTCAATTCATTGTCTACTACTTGCTCATGGGTGTACACTGCAAATGTTTTCAAGTAGGCATATGTTTCACAAGAAATTATTTTTTATGTTATAAAACAAATGGTAAACACCACAGCATACACTATTGAGTTATGGATGCACTTGCGAAGTTTAATAAGCACTCAAGAAGCTAGAGTCGCTTTCGGCTATCACCACGAACGACTCTTGCGCTTCTTTTGTGCTTAGCAACCTCCTACGTGCATCCAGAACTCAATAGTTTACGCTGTGGTGTTAACCATTAAATTTTGTTAAATAGCTGGGTACATACTGAACCATACTGAATTTGACTGCACAGCTCTGCTACAGGTGTAATTGTTACATTAATGGTGTTTGTTTAATATCTCAACAGGAGGTATCCAGCTCTCCAGTCAAACAAGAAGCAGGTAACATTGGCCTTTTAAAATTTGTGTGCTTAGACCGTTAATTCCAAGAAGTGGTGAACATTACAAAATTTTTCCTGATAATTTCAAGGCGCTATCAAGTAAAATTACAGTAACATTAGTCATGGTTACCAGCAAGTGAGTGTTATCATCTGATGATAAATACAGCTCTGTCATAGCAACGTTTTATTTACTATGAAAAGTTATCATAAAGAGATGTCAAAGAATCATTTTTGTCTCCTCTTTACTTGCAGTGACATTATACGAAAAATTGAATGAACTTGGAGAGAAGAAACAGAGCTTGCTAGATGAGATGGAGAAAGAGAACAAAGGAACTCCTGCAGAAGAAAGAGAGAGACTTCTCAAACAGGTAAGTCCCCCAGCTACAGTTAGAGAAGAGGACACAGCTGCTATTGGTTGTTAAACTTGAAAACTGAGGTTGGTCCAGCTGTTTGAGATTGATATGGTTACGCTGAAGAGCTTGACCGTTTTAACTCTACAAAATAATAAATTTATCAGTAATTGAGTTAGGAATAAGTAACAATAAAAGTCTAATTTTTTTTCTCTATACAGGTTAAGGAAGACAATCAGGAGATTGCAAGCATGGAGCGAAAGTAAGGCTCTCTGCCATTTGTTTTTATCGTTTTTAGTGTTTTGCCTTTTTTGCTTTTTGTTTTTTCAGTTATATTTTTTTTTCTGGTACTACGGAAGTATGCAGCTAAGAGCCAAGTTTAATTGTTAGGCCCCGTCCTCTTTCATTCCTGCCACTGACAGCTTTTTGCGAAAGCTAGTAAAAAAAATTGTCAGAAAGACCGTTAGCNTGTCTCCTCTTTACTTGCAGTGACATTATACGAAAAATTGAATGAACTTGGAGAGAAGAAACAGAGCTTGCTTGATGAGATGGAGAAAGAGAACAAAGGAACTCCTGCAGAAGAAAGAGAGAGACTTCTCAAACAGGTAAGTCCCCCAGCTATAGTTTGAGAAGAGGACACAGCTGCTATTGGTTGTTAACGTTGTTTTTGAATTAATATAATAGTAATTATATTAGCTCAGGCCATTTGATTTCACCCTTATCGTTGAGAGTGGAAAATGAAATAGTGGTTTGAAGCAAATCTTCTCAGACGTACATGTACTTTGTGTATGTAGCGAGGTGTTGCAACATGTATAAGAGAATACCACAATGACTGCTCCTGTAAGATCAATTTAACTTACTTGGAAACTGAGGTTGGTCCAGCTGTTTGAAATTGATATGGATACCCTTGACCGTTTTAACTCTACAGAATAATAAATTTATCAGTGATATTAACTGATTTATGAATAAGTAACAATAAAAGTCTAATTTTTTTTCTCTATACAGGTTAAAGAAGACAATCAGGAGATTGCAAGCATGGAGCGAAAGTAAGGCTCTCTGCCATTTGTTTTTTTCGTTTTTAGTGTTTTGCCTTTTTTTTTTGTTTTTTCGTTTTTTTATATTTTTTCTCTGTTACTACAGAAGTTTGCGGCTGAGAGCTAAGTTTAATGTTGAGGCTCCATCCTCTTTCATTCCTGCCACTGACAGCTTTTTGCAAAAGCTAGTAAAAAAATTTGTCAGAAAGACCGTTGGCATGCAGTGTAGTTGCTCATTATGAGCTCCTCTCTTTAAAAGTCGTTTCATACTCCGGCTTCAGGACATCTGAACTCCGAGAGAAAATTGAAACAGTAAACGGTGAAATTCAACAACTGGACATGGACCTTGAAGAACATCAAGGTTAGTCATTAGCAATATATAAATAACTGCATTGTAAGTGGCCTGCGGCATATAGCTGTAGCAAGTGTTTGCGTAAAGACAGCGTGAATCTCGAGTGGCGCGTGCGAAAGTGTAGTAACGTGCACGTAATAGATGAGTGGGAAGAACTCCTCTCGCGCGTTTTCCTCTTTCCACGCGCGCTTACCATTCAGGTCGGTAGCTGTTTGAGATATCAACATTCTTGTATAGCTTCTGAAATCAAACGCAGTGTTGTTTTTGTGTGTTTTGTTCGTTTGTTTTTGTCGTAAATGTTTCTTAATTATGTTGGTTGGCAAGGATGAAAGTCACAGCACGGAAGTGCTTTAGCAGGTACATGTATGATGGAAAAGGGAGAATGGTTAAACTCAGGGACTCATAGGGAAACGTAACTTCAATTTTTTTCGATTTCAGGCGAACGAAATGTTAAGTACAAAGAGTTGAAAAAGCGGGAAGAAACGATGGACGGTATGTACAAGAGTAACGAGAGTGTTCAATTAAGCGGAGGCAGTGTGACCGACTTGTTGGGCAGGTCTTGTAATCTGTTGGTCCTGGGTTCAAGTCCTTCACCATGCTACTCACTAAATTTGTTCGCGGTCGCCTCGAGCTCTGGTCTGCCTCTTGCCAGTTGTGATTTTTATGTACTATGTTTGTTTACAATGTTCATTTACAATTTGTTTGAATTTGAGGACCACAGGTTTATCAGATTGTAACTGCTTAGTGTTAGCATCTGTAAATAGTAAATCGTTACAAGTATTTATATTATTATTATTATTATTATTATTATTATTATTATTATTATTATTATTATTATTATTACTATTATTATTATTATTATTTAACGTAGCGAATGTTAGCGTTGTGGCGGAGTCGATTGTGAGGAAAACTCTTCGGATGGAGATCCACAACTAGTAGAAGTATGGAGACCTGGATAGTTGACCAAACTTGACACATAGCATGTGCCGTGTACCTGGGTTGTAATGTTGATTCTTTGTTTTCTGTAGAATTTTTGGAAACGTTCGAGGAAGTTAAGGCAAATGAACAGGTTAGTCCACCAGCGTGTTGTATTAGTTAACCCTTTAATCCCATGAGCCGTGAGTAGTCCAGTGGTCAGTGCGCTGGACTCTGGNCTGGCCTGTTTACTGGGAATGGGGGGAGGGGGCATCTGCAGAATTTCTTCTTTATTTATTGTAAACTGCCGCCGGCAGTCTGGATAAGTTCCCCGCACATTGTTGTAAAACGCATTGGAGCTTTTACATGGAAATGCGCTTTAGAAATCGATATATATTATTATGAGAGAATTTCTTCTTACAATATCGATACAATATCAAGCAGATAAGTAATGAAAATAAAGAAAAATATCAATTGGGAAGTTATCCGTTGATTCAATACCTGTTGCGGACTTGTATAGCGTTACAGTGTGACATCGGGTCACGTGAAACTTGACGTGTGCAATCATATGACTTAAGCGTTTTCGTTTTCTTTCCGTTCTGCAATAAATCTCTCTGTGTGGTTGACATTAATCGATGTGGGAACCTGAAGATCGTTTGACTCTTTCAAGAACCAGCGATTTCCGTCCTATAGAGCGTTACCTTCTCTTATAATACCAAAATTCTCAGAACTAACATCATAAGAATTATATGGCAGGCAGTAAGGAGAATTACGAATGAGATCTTGGGAGTAAAAAGGTTAAGGCTTGAATGTCTCTGACAACCTCGCTTGGTACCAAGAGGAGTGGGGTGGGGGGTTACCGCCTACTCCCTCCTTGCACGTCCAAAGGTTGTCATTCCTCAATATTGTTTACTTTGATATGAGTTTGTGACTTCTACGATTTTCAATAGGCAAGGAAGCAGCAGTTGGAAAGCAACATTGTAAACGTCTTGGAGCACATGAGCAGGGTTAGTTTGTCTTTATTCTCAAACAAGTTTTTTTTAAAAAAAAAAAAAAAACGCACGGAAGAGAAGGAGGTTCGAATCTCTTCTTTGGGAACCCAAACATTTTCTTTCCCTTAAATCTGTGACAAAATGTGATACGTTTTTCTTTAAACAAATGACAAGTTTCTTTGTTTTAGTGCCAGGAAGACCTCTAGTACGTTCAAATCGTCAAACATATGTGAACGCTTTTTTTTTCATGTTCTTACATCATTATAATAATAACTGTTGTGTCTTAAGCTCAGTTTTCTCCCTTTTCTCCTGACCATGCAGCTTTCTATTTTTCAACTTAAGTAATCAGCGTTACTTTGGGTAGTAATAACGCAGTCACCCACCTTCTTGAAGTAAAGTTTTGTTTTCGTTTGGGTGATTGGCGTATTCGTAATGGTAGACGTATGCTTGTATATTCATTTGTTTTCTGGTTAATTTTTTTTCTATCAGGGAATGGCACGAACAAAGCACTTACCCAGTCCGGCCGAGCTTCAACGAATGAAGGTGCTCTAAAGATTTATTATTTTTACGTCTATCTTGCATCAGAGGCGCGACTTTCAAATGAACGGTCGAGGCAATCTAGGATTTCATTGCATTCGCGTCATTTTACTCAGAGTTTGGAGTAGAAAACTCGCACCACTCTCCCCAGCAGTCAGATACAAAACGTAGGACAAAAATGACTCAGCTACTCACGCTAACCGTCATAAAGGCCGTTCTGAGATTCGTTTACTTTAACTTCTCCTTGGCTTCGTACGATATTTCCTTTGATCTGGTTTACCGTTTTAATTACCTTAGTCATTGGGTCCTCTGTTGTTTATGTTGTCTCTAATTTTTTAATCATTAACCACTGCCATCTCTTTCCTTCAACTTTCCCTCGCCCGTTCATTCTTACTGCTTCAATTTCATAGTCGTCTTCGTCGTATTATCAGGGTTCATACGGGTTCTGGAAAACCTGGAACGTCCTAAAATTTTATGTTGACGTTTTCCAGGACTGGAAAGTCTCGGAAAAAGACTGCACGGTCTACTAGATAGTCCTGGAAATTTGCAAAAAATCAAGCAATAAAGTTTTCAGAATTTACGTTCTAAGAAATGTGTATAGACCGTAAGGAAGAGAATTGATTTTGAAATCTTGAGAATGAAAGGGTTAAATGTGAAATTTGGAGTCCTGGGGAAAATCAATCTGAGCCTGGAAAAGTCCTGGAAAATTCCGTAAAAATTTGTTTCTGAAAAAGGGTTCGAACCCTGTTTTATTCTTATTCCTTTTCACCTCACCACCTTCTATTTTTTCAATCCCTTTCTTTCCCACCCCTTTAACATTCCTCATCTATCCATCCCCTCCCCTCATCCTTGCTTGCCAAGCCTTCTTTTTCATTTTTCCCTTTTCTTTTCCAAGAGCTTCTTTTCTTATTAGTGGTTGATTCCAAGAAACTGACATTGCTGACGTTTTGCTTTCCCTCCCGGGCAGGATGATCTGAATTTTAAAGAAACAGAAATGCATAAGTCTCAGTCTACAGCGGCCAGTTTAGGTTCAGGTAAGGACTGGACCAAACAAAACTTGCAAACGTCGGTAGTTTATTGGCCTAAGTATGACCTCAAACGTGGTAGTCTTTGGTATGGTTATTGTTTGTTTCTTGAATTTTTATTTTAATTTTTTTTTTTTGTAGAACACACCCGTCTTCAAATGGATCTGGAGAAAGTTGAACAGGTGAGGAGAAATGTAAAGTACATACACTTCATCTTTTAATGGTTTCAAGTTCTTACCTTGTCTGAGTGACCTCCCCTCTCTCCCCCTCTCCCTGGAGTCAAACACCTTCATATTTCAAATCCCCATCCCAACATCAACCCGTAGTAATCTCTTCAACAATTTACTATGGTCTCTGTATGAATGAAACTAAGCTGGAAAAAGGCCATTCCTCCTGGACAGCAAATATTCTTTTAAATATATCGATTCACTCTCCAATGCACAATTGTACTCTTGAGGAGATGGAGGTACTCTAATGATAGGACACCACGTTTCAGCAGTTGTGTACTATTCCTTCTTACATTTATGTGACGGTTGTGATCTTAAATTTGACGTGGGTTTTGCTTTGTATACAACAGCTCGAGACAAAAATAACAACAGAGCTCGAATCACTGAAAGAAAGGATCCAGACAATGACACTGGTAACAATTTTGCTGTTTCTTTGATAACAACTTTTTAAATATAATTTCGTGGCCAATGCCATCAAAATATTGTATGTTCTCCTTTTTGATTCAGTCATTACATCACTCATTTTTTCATCTCAATAGCCCTTACATCTATCCAGTTTGCTATGAGAATAAAATTTTGATCCATTCATTCTTTCCTTAGGGAGCAGTAATAATAATTTATCGTCAGGGGGGAGATGGCGAATTCTTTTTGGGGGGGGGAGGGTCAGGGTCACATGTTTTTTCAGGGGAACCGATGGTGGGAATCATTCGTCGCCAACAGAGTATAAAGAGGAGACTATAGAAAAGTGACTTCCTCTTAACAACCAGTAAGGGAGGGGTCATACGAACATTACAGAGCGTAAGAAGGGATCGGGTAAATTTTGTCATGAAACAACCAAACTTCCCCCCTCACCCGGCGACCCTCCCCCCTCGAACCGCCTCCCGGTTAGCTCATTGGATAGAGCGCTGGACTTTTGTGCGGGAGGTCGAGGGTTCAAGCCCCGGCCGGACCAACACTCAGGGTCTTAAAATGATTGAGAAGAATATGCTACCTTTCCATAACATCAAGAAAGGATTACT